CTCTGGGTTTTCCCTCCCCCGTAGAGAATGTGGGTTTTTCCGGTGTACTACCGATAGTCTAGGTTTTTCCCAATGATCTGAGCTTGAGACGAAACTGGTCTTGGAGCTTAGGGCTTGTTTATATGTCCTTAGTAGCTACGAAGGCTTTCCATTATTTTCTGATGACTGCCGGCAAATTGTGAAATTAGACTTTCTTTTCTTTTAAATCCTCGCCGGAGTCTTCTTCTGGGGGTCTGGAAAAAGTAAATTCCCCAAAAGATAGCCCGAGGGTAACAGAAGTATAGTGCTTGTCATACTTTACTCCGAGAGACTTTGCTATTTGCCAACAAGTTTGTAACTTTAACGTATTCAGTCGTTCAACTGTAAGGTCTTCAAACCTGGCGGATAATTCAGCCATATTTTATAAGTCTGTATTTCAAGGTTCAGTATCCCGGACAGTAGGTCCCCATTTATTACGATAAACTTTATAAACCCTAGGCGTTGTTAGTCTAGGGGACTTTTTGAAAGAGAATTGTTCTCCAGTCCTATCGTAATAAGGTTGTAGGCCAGGGTGATCAACAAACATTTTAAAATGTATCTTTAATACAGAATAGATATTGTTAAAGACAAAGTATATATATAATATATATATAGACTTTATATATTACTTAAAGATGAAGACCTTCAATTTTTGTTGTATGAACCTTTCATATACAGTTGACAAAAGTTACATTATTTCCTATTTTCTAAGGAGATTAGGATAATGGCTTAGCAAACTTGAAGTCTCCACAGACGAGAACTTCTGTTTAAGGAAAATTTCACAATTTCTGGCGACTTTAAGAGAGTAAAGTGGGTAAGCTGTGGAGACCTTCTCTACACAGAGAGAAGTGTTGAACTGTTTAATCTACCCCACTCACACCTGACGTCAGCTCGCTTCAGGCGAGTAGTGTAGAAGTGAGGCCAAACAAATTGGTAGTTATCCAAGACACTACTAAAGTCACCTTCAGACTTCACAATGAGGCAGCCATTAATAACTTCACAACAGCATTAGCAAACATTGATTGGCACACTGAGCTAGAAATCTATACAGATATTGACGAATGTATTAATAATTTTCTAAAAAAGACCCAATACCTCTATAACAAGCACTGCCCTAAAAAAACTAAACAGATGACAGCAAAGAGACTGAACAGTCCCTGGCTAACACCCAGCATTCTCAAATCCATAAATACAAAACACCAATATGAAAAACAGTACAGAATGGGTCACATAACCAGAGACCAAACAAAACGTTACTCGTCAATCCTAACCAGCCTGATAAGAAGGGCAAAAAAATTGTATTATGAGAACAGATTATCCAACTTACGAGGTGATATAAAAAAGACCTGGAAAACCCTATCAGAAATTCTGGGAACAAAAAAGATATCACGAAATAGCGAAATAAAATTAGCAAAATCAGATGAACCCCAACTCCCACCAACAGAAACAGCAAACAGACTCAATGATTTCTTCTCCACTATAGGACAAAACCTTGCCAATAAAATCCCAAGCTCAGATACCCCACCAAATGACTACCTCACCGGCAACTACCCGAACACACTGTTCCTAGCTCCGACTAACCCATACGAAGTCTCCCTTATTATCAATGCACTAAAAAACAAGGCAGGAGATTTAAGTACCTTACCACCCTTTATATACAAAATAGTGTCACAAGTGCTATCACCAATCATTGCAACACTCTTTAACAAATCCATCGAATCCTCCACCTTCCCTACAGTACTCAAAATAGCAAGGGTCACCCCGATCCTCAAAGGAGGAGACCAAACAGAGTTGAATAACTATAGGCCAATATCCAACTTACACCCTCTCTCAAAAATCTTCGAAAAATTAATTCATAAACGAATCTACTCCTACCTTATCTCCCAAAACATACTCAACCCCTGCCAATTTGGATTCAGGCCTAATAAAAATACTAATGATGCTATTATACACATGCTAGAACATATATACACTGCAATAAGAAAAAAGAAGTCCCACTGGGGATCTTCATTGACTTACGTAAAGCTTTTGATACAGTTGACCATGACTTGCTCCACGTAAAATTGTCATACTATGGTATAAGAGGGCACTCCCTCAACTACCTCAAGTCATACCTCAGCAACAGAAGCCAATATGTGTACGCAAATGGGGCAAACTCTTCTGCGCAACCAATTACAGTTGGTGTCCCACAGGGAAGTGTCCTTGGCCCTCTTCTCTTTCTCCTATACATAAATGACCTTCCAAATGCTTCGCAATTACTCAAACCCACACTATTTGCAGATGACACTACATACGTCTTCTCTCACCCGAGGCCAGTCACACTAGCCAATACTGTAAATACCGAATTACAGAAAATATCTACCTGGATGAGGACTAACAAACTTACACTAAACATTGACAAAACCTACTTCATTCAGTTTGGTAACAGAGCTTCAGATGTCCCTCTTAACATAATGATAAACGGATCACCTATCACAAAGCTAACAGAGGGAAAATTCTTAGGAATCCACCTTGATAATAGACTCAAATTTCATACACATATACAACAAATTTCTAAGAAAATTTCCAAGACTGTAGGCATACTATCGAAGATACGGTACTATGTTCCACAGTCAGCCCTCCTGGCCCTATATCACTCTCTTATTTACCCCTATCTCACCTACGGAATTTGTGCATGGGGCTCAACAACAATTAACCATCTCAGACCACTAATTACCCAACAAAAGGCTGCAGTTAGAATGATAACAAATTCTCACTACAGGCAGCACACTCCACCAATATTCAATACACTAAACCTACTCACCATACAAAACATCCATACTTATTACTGCACCTATTACATACATAGAACACTTAACTCTGATATTAACCCTCCCCTCAAACATCTCCTTGCCAACCTCAACAGAACACATGACCATAACACAAGGCACAGATCACTCTTTGATGTTCCTCGTGTTCATCTCACACTATGCAAAAACTCAATGCACATAAAAGGCCCTAAAATCTGGAATTCATTACCTGTAAATATAAAAGAAACACTACCTGTTTATAAATTCAAGTCTCTACTCAAAGATCACTTACTCACCCAAAACCAAATAAATACTGAATAACTGAACCTTATAAATTGTATATCTTAAATGTTTCTCACAATTATATCACATAAATGTTAAACCTAAAACCGAATCTAACTTTATTATTTTTTAAATACACTACCTAACAGAATCCTTCATATGACTGAATGCAACCATATGACCTGTCTTTGTAATACTCACTTGTGCTTTATAGTAATCTGTTTACATTAATGTTTTATCACTGAATTCATCATTGCTTAGTTAATCTTAAGTTAATTTTAAGCCAGCCCGTAATGCTATGCATAGTATAAGTGGCTTTGGCATGCTGCTCTTATCTGTATTTTTTTGTACCTCTGTATGTGTGCTCAAATTTATAATAAATAAATAAATAAATTTCCACAGCAGAATAAATATATACATATAATGAAAAATGGGAAAGGTGAAAATGAATATTTAATATTATAAAGCTGATTACTCTGGTTTTAGCATTTAACGATAGTAATCGCAATATAATATTAGAAAGATGAGCAAATATGAAAGACATATATTATAACTGCATCTCTGTGTAACATTCTTTCTTTGCCAGGATGGATGTAATTGTTGATTTATTCTTGCTGTACATCCTGGCAAGTTCCACCACCTTGATACCACTCTCAAACTTTTCTGTCACTTCACGCTTAAATTCCATGGTGTTTCTCACTTCCTTTACCACAGGAACTTTCTTTGGAACCATGGTTACTTATTTCACAGTTGCACTGCAAAAAAAAAAAAAACTCTTAAAAACAATGGAAAACAAGCGAAATGTTTGGATGTATGAACAGAAGCTTCCTCAGCCACCGAGAGACAAAGCCAAACTGACACGCAAACGGCCCCAGCTGGTGGATGGACGTGTCCCAAACGGCCGATAACTGGGCGCTGAAAAACCGGCCGATAACCAGGGGTCCACTGTATTTTTATTCTCATGTACTCTCATTGTCTAGTAATTATAAGTTAGTTTTAAAGCTCTAGGAATGTAATACTCTCAAATTTTTAGGTTTGGTTTCATTGATCCCAGTAACAAGCTGTGGGGAACCTTACTTGCTGCACTTTCCCTCTAAGTATTCCTTGATTCACTGCAGTGCCTCTCCAGTTATCACTGCCTATTTCTCTAGTTTTTTTTTTATACAGTAGGTGTGTGTATGTGATAGGGTCCATTGTCTTTTTTGCAGTTCACCCATACTCTTCAATCCTGCCTCACTTATTACCTTTTCACAGAAATCCTGCAAGTTTCAGATAGACTTTACAGCCTCTAAACTTGTGCTGGTTGTCTTGAAACTGCTATCCAGGTGCTCCACCAGTATTCTGATTATGTTCTCCATTCTTATGCACATCAATGATAATGGCCTGTATTCATTTCAGATAACTGCCCATTATTATTACATTCATAAAGAAGTACCCAATCCATAAGGGTCATATATCACTTGGGAAATAGGAGGCAGTCAGGTTTGATCTGAGGCTTTAGGTGGCTTTGAGAATAGGCTAGACAAATGTTTGAGTAGAGAGGAGTTGGATTTAAAGAGGACTTGCCAAGAATGTTCCACCATTATCAAGGTATCTCCTTCCCCTTGCCTCATCCTTGAATGGTCAGATCAATAACCTTTTGCCAACTACAGTACAAGGTCCATTTTCCTTGATGGATATAATCTGTAATCTCATAATTGGATAACATTTTAATTATTGCAGTCTTAGTACCTACTATGAAGTATCTGTATAAGATAGGGAACCATAAAAAATTAACATTAAATTGACAGTAATTTCTAAGATTTAGGCTTGCTCACACAATTACAGTATCTTTTTTTTTATTTTTTTGCATTCCAGAAGAAAAATTTTAATTCCCTCATAAGCAACAGCTAACATGAAATCCATTTACAGGTATGCCCTAGCAGGTCTCAATATGGCTGATTGCGACTATGATGGACGGACAGCACTCCATCTTGCAGCTGCTGAAGGTCATTACGATACTGTTGTCTTCCTCCTCGAAAAGTGCCATGTGCCACCTGCTCCAAAAGATAGGTTGGTAATTCTTATTGTTTTTGCAGAAATGCTCTAAACCATATTATTCATCATTCACTAAAGTTTGAAAATACTATATTGTAATGCTCCCACACTTTGATTTTGTGAGGATGTTTAATGTTTAGTTCTTATAGCTTAACATCCCAGATTTAGTTCTGGGTATTTGATACTCCTAGATTATGTCTTTATGCATTTTTTCCTCAGAAAATGCAGGAAATTTCTAGTTATTATTTTAATAGAAAATGTACTCACATCAATACATTCATGGGCTAAACCCATGGGAGCTGAAATACCTAGAGGAATGGGAGGTCAAGCTCAGTTCCTTGGATTGAAAGGTATTCACCAGCATTAAGGAACCTCCCTTGAGGGGAAGTATTATAATATTCACAAGAAAGTGATAAACCCTTAGGGGTCATCCAACACTGGGGGAAATGGGAGGCAAATCAGGTTCAAACATTTGGTAGTAAGTTGCACACAAAAAAAAAAAAAATCAGAAATGTGGTTAGGAGTCCTGAATCTAGTAATAAAACAAATGAGAAATGCAGCATACATACATTAATCTGATAGCAAAAATAAAAAATTCAAAATAAAGTCGAGGAAAATCTACATCTCCCCATTTTCCGAAGTTAATTGGTTCCTGTGAGGAGAATAGACGTTCCCTCTGATGCTGAACAATCTTTCTGTATTGAAGAGGGAGTAAACTCGGATATTCACTGGTTAGGTTTGTCAGAAAGAAAGAATCATCATATTTTCTTTCCACCATCAGAAGATCACACCTTCAAGGATCACAACAGTGTTGGTATTGTTATCACAAGGAAAATGATAAGTTGGATAATTAGATATTTCAAGACAATGGATGCTGATTAAATGATAATGCTCTTTAAGTCACTTCTCTCCAGGTTGGATTATTATTATTATAAACAAAAGTATGTGTTAAACCTACCAGGGTCACACAGTGCTGCAGGGTAGGGCGTGTGAACTATGTACATGTACTATGCTTGATCTGAAACTAGCAAGGGTGGAGAGTGTAACAGAGGTAGAGTTTGTAAGGGTGGTGAGGAGTGGTAAAGGAAGTATAATGAAAAGTTGTGTAATAAATCTGTTGCTGTCAAAAAATCAGAGAGGGAGTCTGTGTCATAGGTAGGGCTGTCAGCAAGGAGGGAAGATAAAGTAAAAGTGTTATAGCAGTGACGACATCAAGAGGTAGACTCTGCATTCTCACTGATAGATGGGACAGGCCAATAGAATATGGCAAACTAAAATTAGAACCTGACAATTCACATAGAGTGGAAATGGGTGCTTCTCCATGAGATACCAATGAGTGAAACGTGTGTGCACAATGCGAAGATGGGAAAGCATAGTGTCCCAACCACTGCATCAATGATAAAGAAGAAGACCAGGATCCTAAACTTGACTTGATAGAATGTAATTTGTTATGAATTAACTCAGACCAACATTGTTACCAATGATTGCGAAGGTGGCTCGAAATTACAGCAAAATAATGTGAGAATAGGGTACCTCTTTATGAAACTGGAAGATCATGTACCGCTGACGATGCAGCAGAGTCCGCCTGCTCATTGCCTTGAACATCAACATGACCAGGGACCCAGCAGAAAACGATTTCTTTGCTTTTGATAGAAGTGTGGCACAACCAAAGTTGTATGTGAAGAACTTGGGGATGAGGTGAATTCAGTTTTTTGATACCTTGCAAAGCACTAAAGTAATCTGAGCCTACTACAAATGTTGTGGTAGGTCTTGACGCAATGCAGATAACTGCTATGAGAATTGCACACAGTTCGGCTGTGAAAATGTTGGCCGAGTCTTAATACATGACCTCACACAACACTGTTTGGGAACACTGCTGCAAACCTGACACCGTCAGATAATTTAGAACCATCAGTATAAACTGCAGTAGCATGAGAATGAAACTAGAAATGGTTAAGAAAATGGGAGCATGAAGCAACTGTAGGTATTTGAGCTTTCGTGTACAGCAGTGAGGAAGAACAGACTTGAACTATCTGAACCTCCCAAGGGGTAAGAGAAAAGTTAAATGCTAGATGAACATATGAAGGGAGCAACTGAAGAGAATGGGATGGAGTAAATGGGCATTGAACAAATAATGGATTCCCTACTAACGTCTGTTACTATCTTGTATGTAGAAGGATCATGAAAGTCACGAGGGCAGTGGGCATCATGTCAATCATTCAAGGATGGAACATTTGCCTTTGTATATAGGCTCTCGACAGTGAAGGAGTGAAAAGCACCTAGACATAAATGTAATCCCTGATGATGGATAGGATAAAGATTAGAAAGAGTTGCGGAGAGGCTGCAGAATATATTTGGTCGCCATAGTCTAGTTTCAATAAAATTAGAGGTGAATACAATTGTATGAGAGTTACACGATCTGCCCCCACATAAGATGAGCAAGAGTTTTAAGGAGGTTCAGCCAGCTATGGCAAGTTGCTTTCAGGGACATAATGTGAGCTTTCCAGGACAGTCAGCGATCAAACAGAAGGCTGAGACATCTGACTGTATCATGTTCAAGGATACGGGAGCCATACAGGTACAAGGAAGTATCAGAGACAACAAAATGTCAGGTGAAAGTAATTTGGTGCATTTTAGCACCAGAAAATTTAAACCCACGAGTAGTGGCCCAACGGGAAACACGGTTGACAGTATTCTGGAGTGAGGCTGCTACTAGGTGACAGTCAACGCCTGCAAAAGCAATGGCAAAGTCATCAACATAAAGTGATGACTAAATATTAGATGGGAGAACAAGTAGAAAAAAGGAGAAAAAGTAGAAAGAGTGGTGCTAAGGACATCCTGAAGGACACCTTCAGCTTGGACAAACTCCGGGGAAAGCAAATTATTAACCTGAACACTGAGACGTATCCCAGATGAGAAGCTTTTAAGGAAGAGTGGCAGATTGTCTCAGAGACCTAAGGAATGAACTTGAGCCAAGATGTTATATCTCCAAGTAGTGTCATATGCCCTTTCAAAATCAAAAAAGACTGTGATAACTGAGTGGTTACTAGCAAGGGCACTACGAACATATTTATCTGAGTAAGGGTCAATAGTGGAACAGCCTCTATGAAAGCCAAATTGACTAGTGGAGAGACTATTGTGCATCCCTAAATACCACACCAAATGTCTGTTTACTAGATGTTCCATCAACTTGCAGACTGCACTGGTAAGAGCTATGGGACAATAGTGTGAGGCATCATGGCCCAAAATACCCAGTATACGAAAAGGCAGAACAACAGCAGTTTTCCACAGCTGGAGAAAAACACTTTGCGACCATATAAATTAAAAAGATGTAAGAGGACAACGAAGGCTGACAGATGTAAATGCTGAAGCATATGAATATGAATGCCATCAGGTGCCGATGATTGGTAAGCAGAAAATGTCGACTCTGGTTCCAGAAGTATAAAAGGCACATTGAAGGTTAAGACACTTGTGCAACATCTGGTTATCTTTATTGTAGACGTTTCGCCATCCAGTGGCTTTATCAATACAGATTCTTGGACATAATAAGAAAACAGAAGAACTACAGTGGACCCCCGCATAACGATCACCTCCAAATGCGACCAATTATGTAAGTGTATTTATGTAAGTGCGTTTGCACGTGTATGTTTGGGGGTCTGAAATGGACTAATCTACTTCACAATATTCCTTATGGGAACAAATTCGGTCAGTACTGGCACCTGAACATACTTCTGGAGTGAAAAAATATCGTTAACCGGGGGTCCACTGTATATACAAAAGATGAGGTAATCAGTCCCTCAGCCTTGAAGGTGGTGTTTAGAGCACGGTGCTCTAAACACCACCTTCAAGGCTGAGGGACTGATTACCTCATCTTTTGTATATAGTTCTTCTGTTTTCTTATTATGTCCAAGAATCTGTATTGATAAAGCCACTGGATGGCGAAACGTCTACAATAAAGATAACCAGATGTTGCACAAGTGTCTTAACTTTCATCTTGTCGGTACTGTATACCTGTCTTGCACAAAAGGCACATTATAAGACTGCTCTGCTAGAAGAAAAGAATAAAGGCAGTAACTCTCTGATAGACTTTGAGGAAAGAAACGTGGGGCATAGATGGAGCCCCAGAGAGATACAGACAAGATGATTTCCAATTTCTGTGGAAACTTCAAGAGGCCTTGCAATGCTGACACCGGCTACCCTAAGAAAGAGAGCCAGGTCTGGAGAGTACTTGCCATTCAGCTTCCATATTTTTTTCCAAACTGCACTCATAGAGGAAGCCAAAGTGATGATAGAAATATAATCCTACCAACAAGTGAATTTAGCTTCTCGGATGACCTGTTGGGCAATCGCCCTCACCCGCTTAAAATCAGTGAGTCACTCTGTGGTCCTCTTGTAACGATATCTTCCCCATGCAGCACATTTCAAATGCACTGCACAAGCACAAGGAGAAGACCAAGGCACACATTTCTGAGGGTGCCTACCTGAGATTTGAGGGATTGTATTTGAGGCTGTGGTTAAAACAGGACAAAAATAGTTGTAATAGCTCAGCAGTTGAGGATAAAGGAGAAGGTTCTTCACTAAAAACAGTTTGACCTGAGTAAATGGCCCAATTTGCCCGTTCAAACTGCCAGTGTGGGCTACAAGGTCGAGAATATGTATGAGAAGTAAGTAGGATAAGAAAATGATTGCTGTTATGTAAATCAGAGAGCACAGACCAGATAAAGTTGAACACAGTTGAGGAGCAAATTGAGAGCTCTATGCAAAAGAAAGTTTGAGTCCAAGGGTTGAAATGAGCGTACCTGCATTTAAAACATGGAGGGAAAAAAACGTGAGAAAAGCCACTAACTGATCACCACAAGAGTCACAGTGAAACCCTTCCCAGAGGAAATGATAAATGTCAAAATCTTGTAATAAGAGGAGAGGAGGAGGTTGGGAAGAAATCAGAGATGCCACATCCAGAATAGATAATGGCCAAGAAGGAGAAAGATATAAAGAGAAGACTATATACCACTTGT